TATATATATATATATATATATATATATAGGTGTGTGTGTGTATATATATATATATATATTAACGTAACGATAAAAATGATCTTATAAAAAGGTTAAAACAAACATGTTTTTGTTCGGTATGAAGTTTTGTTATCAAGACACTATAAGTTACTCTCTAACGTACAGTTACACAAGTATCATTTTCCATGTAAATTAATGCAACAAACCGCATCCGAGTTTGTATTGTTTTTTAATAGGACGTTCTGTAGTAATCAGAAGTTTTCTTCTCGTGTAACGTAGTAGTTTTAACATGTTGTAACTTACATTTTCCAAACTTTCCACCGTTTCCAGGATATTCAAAAGGATAGCTTCCCCGAATGTAATGCTATTTACAGATCAAGCTGTTCAATGTACTGAGGTGAGTGAGGATTAGTTCTCAATATTAGCTTACTTGTAAAACATGTGGTTGTAAGACATGCGCAGTAGTGGCTTGTACGTGTACTTTGTTTCTCACTCTTCCTGTTTGGAACGAAACAATAAAAACTTCAGCCTTTCTAATGTATATATATATATGTATAATGAAATAAAATAGGCCTAATACTATAAATTACATAAATTTTATATACTTTGGATAATTAAATCGGCGCTATATATCAATGATATATATTTGTTTATAAAGCTTTAACCCACAACGTTCCAACACCTACTTCCATTCAGCCAGATGTGGGTGTAGTAGTTACCCCTAAACAAAATAGGATTCCAAAAGTAATTGATTTTTAAAATACATCCTAAATTTTTACCCTTGTTTGACACCCCACCCCCGCCCTTAAACAATTATTACTAAGTAACAAGAACTATAACCCTCTTACCTAAATAGTTCAGTAATAATTAAATTGCCAACATTTCTCCATTAAACTGTTAAAACACACAACACTTAAATGATCTTCAGTAGTAGTTGTCTCGTTGTTTTTATATATTATGTCTAGTAGACAAAATATTTCCAACACTTTTGGAGACATTTACTACCGCAGGCATGTTTCCTTAAAAGTTATATCTTTTGTACTTCATTGACAAATGGTATTATGTTTAATTATATATATAGTAAGTGAACTCTGAAGTCACGAAACCGACTGAAGAAGTTAATAAAAGAGAGAACAAAATAGAACAGTTTGATATTCCAATGTTTTGTTGTTTGTGTCCATAGGTGAATGTTATTGATGTGTTGGTTATTATATATCATACTAGCGAAAGTATCCGGCTTCCATCGGGTTAATAGGTTGATATATTCTAGATGACTCCGTCAATGTGTGTATTCTGAACCTATTCTAGCATAGAAGAACAGTCAAAAATATTTTAAACATTTTTATTTCCCAAAAACATAAAAAAGTCATAAAGAGTGTACAATAAATTAAGAATTATTTATTATCAATGAACTTTATCATTGCGTTAAATATTTCACAATAATATTTGATATCACAAATTTCTATCACATTTTATCAGAATCTATTACAATATTTTACCGTTCCATTAAGGTTTTCCCATTACGATTTTATTAACGAAGGTCACGAGGGTGCAAGGGGCCGTGAAGGGGGTTGCTGTGAAACCTTGTAGTGTAGTGAATGTTGGTATGAATTAAAGAATTTAATAAATAAGCCTAAAGTAATAACATAGTGTGGGATAACCTACTTTCATAAAATATATCATGAAAGTAAAAATATCGATCCAATTTTAAACTTAAATAATAAAAAACAAACCTCTTTAATCAACGGAAACTCTAAATTAAGAAAGCAACAAATATATTTTCAATTTTGTTGTTTATACATTCCATTTTATTCTTTCAGTACATACACTAACAACAATATTAGATCATACTTTTGTTGCTAAGCAACATGACATCAAAGCCCATTCTTGGAAGGCGTCTTTACCAAAAGACACTGGCTTTTCTATAGATTAGAAGTTGTTATATAAAGAACTACTTCTTTTCTATGTGGTATTTCGTTAGCTTGCCTTATTACAATCATGCACACGTACATGCGCGCACGCACATGTCTGTCTGCCTGTGATTTATATTTGTAATATAAGGAACCAGTTCTTTTCTATGTGGTTTTTCACTAACTTGCCTCATTAAACAAATGCGCGCACGTACGTGGATAAGATAAGTAATAATACCCATGTGCATACCCTCAGGGTCCACTTAGTATGGGTGCGAAATTTCAGGTTTCTAGGTTCTTTCCTCTTCCAGCTATGGCAGTCACACTTCTTCTGTATGTGGTTTTTCGCTACCTTGCCTCATAAAAAGATGTGCACGCACGTGGATAAGTAATAATACCCAGGTGCACGCCCTCAGGATCCATTTAGTAAGGGTGTAAAATTTCAGGTTTATAGGTTCTTTCCTCTTTGAATTATGCCGGTCACACATCGTTTACCTGTTTCATTGCGTAGAACTAATTCTTCATAGCTACTTACTGATTGAAGAATTGATTTAACTGAAACTGCTGACATACCAAGCAGAAAAAAAAAGTTATATTATAATATACTTACAATAAGTCTCGTAGGTATTATTTTAAGAATTTTTTTAAAATATGAGATTTATTTATAACGCATTTAAAGCACTATAAATAAGGGGCTCACTGGTCAGTGTGCAGGACAGTGGAGTTAAGGTTCCATGGTTCGCGTCCCGTTACCGCCAGAAATCTCACTATTTGGTCTAATAAGAGTATTCAAAGAGTTGGCGGTGGGTGGTGTTAACTATCACTTCACAAAATGTGTAACTTTGCACGAAATTCAACGGAATATATTGTGATGATTGTGTAAAGTCGTGCTGCCCTCTAGTTGGAAAAATGTTAACTATAAAATTTAAAGGCGTCGCGTAACGTTCAACAAATTGTGCAAAATTATGAATTCTATCGAAACTTCTTTTCGAAACATTTTCGTACGAATTCTACATTTATTCAAAATTGGGGAATGACTGAAATTCATAAACAGGTACATAGGATACAATACGAAATAGGAATTTTAGGATTGATAGGATGACAGGGTGATTGTTTATATAGAAAGGATGAAATTAGTGTGTTTTTAATGGATGATACCAACAAGAACACAGGATAAATTGATTATTATAAATTTATTTTGGGTAAAAAAAAATTGCCGTTATTTTTCTTCCTTATCATCCAGAACATAGACTGCTGGTCTTTTGATGTCCTTTCAGCGAACCGAGTAGCCAATGGTCAAATCCTCCGCCACGTGACAACTGACCTTCTAAATCGTTATGGTTTAATACATAAGTTTAAGGTAAGCAGGGTTCCCACTAGGATTTAGTCAGTAATACACAACCTTACATTGTGGGATCTCGCTAGGATTTAGTTAGCAGTACACAACTTTACAGTCAGTAGAACAATATAGCACATGCTGGAGTCTGAAGGTAATGTTTTACAGTCAGTAGAACAACACAGTACATGTTGAATGGAACATTGATGAGATAATTAATAAGGGTTTTAATAACTTCAAATACAAACCAGTATTTTTCTTTAATGCTATCAATGTTGCAATCCTCAACCCAGGAATGGAGGAATGGAATTACTGCTCAATATGACGTTAAAACATTCATAAAAGAATGTTAAGTTTACTAGATATTGAAATATTTCTCTTTTTAAACTTTATCACTTCTTTCTACAGTCTGTGATATTGAAAATATCACTGCCCTAGATTTGGACTCTTTCAGTTCTTTTACTTTAAGCCTACTTCTGCATGGCTCGCTAGAGACAATGTACAATTTTTAATTTATGATTTTTTACACATCTTTTTAATTGGTAACATTATCTGTTTATTTTAGTATCCTCTACTCACGATTACCATTGAAAAATTATTGCAAATAACACAAGCGAGACTTTTTAATAAAAGTGATGTATTTTAATGATAGATTCAAACTGCAGTTCTCGAAAACTTCATGATCCAGATGGAATCAGGTTACAATACATACAAGAATCCCTACCACAACAGCATCCATGCTGCAGACGTCACTCAGACAACCCACTATATGCTGTTTCAAGCAGGACTAGCGGTAGGTAAAATAAATAAAGTTATAACCTAAAACTTGAGTTAAAGAAATAAAAATAAAACTTAAGTTGTACGTTACGGAAATAAAAACAAATTTATAGGTAATCGATATAAAGTTATGGTCTAAAATGTGGGTTAAAGAAATAAAGTTATAACTTAAGCTGTAGGCTAAAGAAATAAAACTATAACCTAAACTGTAGGTTACGAAAATAACATTATAACAGAAACAGTAGGTAATATTTTATTAACATATCAAAAAACAGAAACATAAAACTAATTTTGATATTCTACTTTACATACCAAATTATTGAAAATATCCATTTTGGTTATTTTCATTATTTCACTAGAGATCCTGTTTAGGCCTAATCTATGATCTATACAGTATTCTCAATATTGTTACGACAGCGGAAGTCACGCGACACTGGGAGCATGCGTGCTGGAGTTTCTCGAATGATCATGAATTTGCCCGGCAGCTCGAGTGTGATCTAGATGCCCCCTTTTTTAGTATATAAGCCTGGCGAGTAAAACCAGCGTGATTGAAGATATAGATAATTGAGTCAACCGAACAGTAATGACGGTGAGCCGTAAATTGTGTGTGTTTTGCAGTCGTCGCATAGAGCGAAGTTATCGAGCTTGTGAATCACTGTGATTTATAGCATGTATTATAAAAATTGTTAAGTTTAAAAAGACGAGAAACGTATTGACTGTGGTAATTCTGTGTATTACAAAGTTGTATCGAGGAAAATAAACTGGGTTAATCAAGAAAGGACTTGTATCACTGAAGTTTCTCGTACAGAATTTCTACCGGAAATTAGCAAACAAGCAGATATGTAACAGTATTAAATGAGTAACATCTACCAGTATTACTATTAGTAACTGTGAATTAGTAGAGAACTCCTTAGGCCTAAACTCTATGGCATTCTCAGTATTAAATAATTAACACTATTACTATTAGTAACCATGAATTAGAAGATAACGTCCTTAGGCCTAATTCCTATTAAATTCTCAGTATTAAAAAAGGAACACTATTACTATTAGTAACCATGAATTAGAAGATAACGTCCTTAGGCCTAATTCCTATTAAATTCTCAGTATTAAAAAAGGAACATTATTAATATTAGTAACCACAAATTAGTAGAGAATGTTTTTGGCCTTAGCTCTATAGTATTGTTACGTCTCTGTTCGTTTGTTAATTTCCCGTATAATATACTTCCAATGAAACTTTAGCGATACAAGTCCTTTCTTAATTGAAACTATTTTATTATTTCTCGATACAATTTTATAATACACAGAATTTCCTCAGTCACTTTAACTTAAACACACGCTATAATTCACAACGATTTACACCCTTTACTTATGGCGTGACTCGATTATCCGTCTCTATATCTCCCTATCTGCAAATTCCAGCTCCGATTAATTGTCTCGCTTTATCTGGCGCGCTTATATACAGGAATAGAGGCCGTCTAGCAAATACTGGATTATTCGTGATGTTCCCGGATCTTTCTAGAACTCATTACCTGTTACCAGGATCACGTGACTTCCGCTGTCGTAGCACTACCCCTTCCTTAGTATTGTTCGTCCCGAACAATAGCCACTTACATTAAACCAACAGATAATTAACAATAACTTAATTAAATGTACAGAATTTACAAACACAAAATTAAAATTCAACAAAGTATCTTAATTTTACGGGACGTATCTTCTTTCTTACTGGTCTCCATCTTGTTGGCTTCTGCTTCACGTGAGGTTCATCTGCTCCATCAGGAAAAGTCCTATTATCGGTAATAGTCACATCAGTGGTAGTAACTTCATCAAGGGCTTCATTGTTTCCCTTCTCAAAACCGGGTAGAGTTTCTTCTTCGACAGTGGCTTTTCCAGGTGACAAATGTCCTGGACCATGATAATGCCAAAGCCTATTGGTATGAATCACCTTTGGCTTACTTCGCCGACCACATTTTATTCGGAAAGTCACGTCTGAGAGACGATCCACTAGTTCATATGGGCCTTCCCATGGAGAAGACAACTTTGGAGACTTCCCTTTGGTCGTCCTGGGATTATACAACCACACCTTGACTCCTGGTACAAAGCTGACTTCAGTAAACTTCTTATCATATCATAGCTTCATGGAATCAGCAGACGTTTTCAAGTTTGAACGCACTTGATGGTGAATATCATCCATCCTTTCCGAAAACACTTTCACGAACTCTGAGACATTTTCAGGCAACTCTTTGTAAGGTGGGCGTCCTGTTAACAGATCCACTGGCAACCGAAGTTTGCTGGCGTGTATCCAGTGGCTTCATGCTCTGCTGTTCTATAGGCCATCAACAATGGAGGGAGTAAGACATCCCAGTCATCTTGGCGGCTATTACAAAACTTTGCCAATTTCTGTCCAAGTGTCAAGTTGTACTTTTCTACCATCCCATCGGACTGTGGGTGGAGTGGCATTGTCCTGGTCTTTTGGATGCCAAACAACTTACAGCATTCATGGAACACAGCTGATTCAAAGTTACGGCCTTGATCTGAATGCAGTTCGTATGGCATACCAAATCTGAAGAAGAAATCACTAATAGCCGAAGCTAAAGTTGTAGCTTCCTGATTTGGTATTGCACATGCCTCAGGAAACTTGGTGAAATAATCCATCAACATACAAATGTACTT